GTACCACAAATTCAGATTGGCGACTTCGTTGGTTTTGGATATGTAAATCCACCAACTAGCACTGAATTGGCTATCACATTCAGGAATGGCTGTAACGATAAACATGTTCACCCCCAGACGGGGTTTCAGGTACTGTCAATTAGAGACATCAAAATTTCTGATTTCGAGAAAATCGTTGAAACTGCACGTGTTGGGACTGAAAATAGTTTGCGAGTCAGGAATGAGTTGCTCTTTTCACTAGATGGCCAGAGTGAAAAAAATTTATTGGATTCAAAATTTTGTTCACCCATATGGTTTGCTTTAGTCCCCAGTAACTCTCAGAGATTTTTGAATTGTAATAATAACAATTTTTGGGAAAACTTAAATGCTTCGGTAACGTTTGTACGCTTGACGTCGATGAAATATACTTTTGTAACTAAGTTGATAATTAACGAATAACGTACTCAACGAATAACGACAAAAAAAAGATATACGATTTTATTCTGGTGGTTTTACTTTTAGACGAGGAAAAATTAGAATTAAGTTAAAAGTACCACCAGATAAAATTAACTTATTTGAGAAAATTAATGTCACAAACACAATTAATTTTGATTACAATTTGTTTAATGGATTTGTGAAAGGCGTTTTAAAAGAAATAAGATTTTGGATGTTAAGAACTGGTTTAATTTGGATTTGGGACAACACGACTCCAGAAAGGTCAGCAGAAAATGTTCAGCATCATCAACAAGGTCCTATTACAGCGTTCAGAATTTTTATAAAAGTAAAAATTGCAAGATCTTCCGGTTCTGTGGATGGTACAGAGAAGGCTAAACGTCTCACGTGCATAAAAATCAAGTTTATGCACGTTGAGACATACAACTCAATCAGGATCATCCACTGGATCTTACGAACGGTAGGAACGCTGACCTACTGCGGTAAGCAGCACCAAGCAATTGAGTAGATTAAAGTGCTTTTTCTACGATCAAATGACTTCAAGGTTGGTCCAAGAATTCATTGTTAAGGAATTCTTGGTTCTAAGCATTTCGAATCATCTGGCCACGCAGTGTGCCTTGTACATCGTTGCAACCCGCGAAATATTTTGTGTAAGCGCAGGAAAGCCAGCATGCGTCATCGTCTTCAACCAGTGCCTGTATCTCAGAACCTATTAAAAGCTAATCTGTACCAGGGTCAATTTTCGAGGATCGGTACACTAAGAAGAAAATCATCGTTCCCAAATTAACTAAGTTCAATAACCCAGTTCACAAATAGATATTAATTAAAAGTAATTTCCAAAGTCTAATTATATTATTCAAATCGAATTCTGTTATTCGATCAAGAAACATGCGTTAGGAGAATTCAGACCACTCTGCATGTTGGACATTGCTGGGAAATTGCTCGAAAAGCTTATACAGGGAAGATTACGGAACGATATCGATCGTGCTGGAGGTTTTGCCGCAAACTAACATGGCTTCCGGGAAGGACGTTCAACAGTCGGTGCGATCCAGAAAGTCGTAGGGATAGCGAGAGAAGCATGGACTGGTAGCCTCAAAGCCCGCAAGGTGTGTCTTGTCCTCACGCTAGACATTAGAAATGCCTTTAACAGCGCAAATTGGAGAGATATTCTGGACGCCCTTGAGCACAAGTTTGACGCGGAGCCAGAGAATCTGGCACTAGTCGACAATTACCTTGACGATAGAAAGCTAATAGTGGAAACTACTGAAGGCCCACAAGAATACGTCATAACGGCCGGCGTGCCGCAAGGCTCAATAATGGGGCCTGATCTATGGAACGCAGACTACGACGAGCTTCTTGAAATCCCGTTGCCAGAGCAAGTAGAGCTAACAGGCTCTGGAGACGACGTTGCAGCCACTATAGTGGCAGACAGCGTAGAAGAGGTCGAACTGCTAGTTCGAGAAACCATCGACACCGTCGAGACTTGGCTTGATAAGCATCACCTGAAACTCGCCAAACAGAAAACCGAGATGGTCGTTTTGACACGTCAAAAATGGTTCCCAAAACCATTCGCTGTGGACATGGGAGGAACAACACTGACGTCAACAAGGGCCCTGCGATACCTAGGGGTTATGATAGACGAGAAACTATCTTTCCGTGAACACCTCGACACTGCATGCAAGAAAGCTAGCAAGACTGTGTCTAGCCTAGCACGAATTATGACCAACACCATGAGACCAAGAACAAAAAAGAGAAGAGTTCTCCTAGAAGCAGTCCACTCGGTACTACTGTATGGAGCGGAAATATGGGCAGACATATTAAAGCAGAAGACCTACCGGCGGAAAATGGCAGCAGTGCAGCGGCGAGGCGCTCTCAGAGTTGCCTGCGCCTACCGCACGGTTTCCGAAGCGGCTGTACTGGTCATTGCGGGAGCTGCGCCCATCGACCTATTAGCGTTCGAAAGAGCAAAACTCTATGACGCTAAAGACAGTGATGATAACATGAAGGACGCAAGAACGAGGATAAAGGCGGAAACGCAGCAAGAGTGGCAGGAACGATGGACGTCGGGAAAGACAGGCAGATGGACAGCGCGACTGATCCCAAACATCAACGCCTGGCTCTCTCGGAAACACGGGGACACGGATTTTTTCCTGACCCAACTACTGACAGGACATGGGCAGTACAACGCCTATCTCTTCAAGATGGGTCTACACAACACACCAACATGCAAATACTGCCCGGATAAAATCGACGACGCCGAACACACATTCTTTGAGTGTGCTCAGTGGAAAGACTACAGAAGAAGCACCGAAGAGATCATTGGCACCAGACTCTCCCCTTCAAGCCTGGTGACCTATATGATCAAACAAGAGAAAAACTGGTCAGCTGTTGCAGCTTATGCACAGCACCTCCTGAAAGACAAAATCGCAGAAAGAGACCAGTAGCCAGGAGTAGGCGTCGTGAGACGCAGCACGGCTGGATTGAAGTAATGCTAACGCGGTTCCAATCCAGTCCTCCCCGTACCATCTAGGGGAGACGGGAAGAGGAATGTTTTTTTTTTAGTGGGTAAAAATCTCCACACTACCGACTATCGATATCTGCCGTAAGATGGGCGGCAGAGTTAACGATGGCGGTGTCTTTTGAAGATCTTTTTTCGTACCTCTTTGGAAAAAAAAAAAAAAAAAAAACACGTACACATACACATGCACACACATACACACACAAACATACAGACACTATCGCGGGAATAGTTAGGGAAGCTTCCTAGGACTTCAAAACGTCGAGATCTGATGAAAACTCGATTTTCGAAAAACGGGGTAAAAACAATAACTTCCCGATTTTTGAAAATTTTCAATTTTCTTAGCGGGAAGTTAAAAATATCGCCTAAAAATGAAACACCCTAATATATATTGAGACACTGCAAAATGTCCCGACTTTATCAGCCTGGCGAACTACCACCCGAAATTTCCGTTACCGACACTAGCTAAAATAATGTGTAGCCCCCGTGACGTCATAAGACGACACGAGGAGGAAAAAATCAGCTACGAACCTCAGAACCTGAGCATTGATCGACACTTCGATCTATCCCCCGGTGTCAACCACCACACTAGATATTTCTTAGTCAATTTACTACTATACTACGATTACCACTATTAGGTGATTACTTACCAAAATTTATAAAACTTACTACTAATTAATTTAATATTCCTTTTTTACTACTATCAGGTGACTATTCACCATAATTTACCACTAATTCGCTATTATATTTCTAATATTAAATAATATTCATCCTATTGTTACAAATATTTTATTTTGCTAAGTTACGTTACCGAAATACCACAAGCTTATATTAAAAGTGCTTATTTTGTGTAATAAAGTTAAGTTTATTGTTATTATCACCGCTATACTATTACTGAACTACCACTATTCACCTATCTATCTACTACGACTATCTATATTCAATCAAAAGGGTCAATCAAGGACGCAGAATAATCACCGCAGTTAATATTGTAAGTAAGTAAAATAAATTAACTGGCACGCGTGAGAACTTTTGTCAAAGAATAAAATCATCGGAAAAAGACAAACACATTCATTGGTTCACGGGAGCGGAATATCCCAGAGTAGCGAATCCCACTTTTTATGAAGTTTAAGTGATTATTTTCCTATCCGCAAGGACTTAGTGATTTAAATAATTAAATTTTTAAACAGAAGAAAAATTCAGTGTTTCAATATATACACTATTTTTTGAACTTTCGAACCGATTAATCAACCAATAAACCCATTTTCACGTTCTTGGCAACGATCGACGTGGTTTTTTAGACACCGAAAATATTTTCATTTCATCAAAAACAATCCAAAAGAAATGTCGACGTTATGTAAAAAAAAACATTTTTTTCGATTATTCGTTTATTCATTCAAGAGTTTGAAACGGGTTTGTTTTACCTTACCTCTTCATCTAGCCCCTTAATTAATTTAATAAAAAACAATAACTAACAAAATGATTCTAAATTCAAAAGGGCACTACCATGATTTTGTAACACGGTTCTGTAATGTATGGATCTCACGATTCTGTGAGGTATGACGTCAGTTTAGTTTATTAAATATATATTAAATAAATATATAGGTACATACGTTGGGTTGAATATATGGAGCACGGAGCTTAGATAGAAGGAGCTCGAACGTATAGTATCAGAAGTGTCCACGAAAAGTAGAGAAAATAAAGTTTCATTACAGAGTGCGCTGTTACTGCTGCAATCCAGATTTTGAATTTAGCGGTTAAGGTAGTACCCTCGCGACTTTAGCCATCAAAAGTTTATACTAGAGTGTACGGTACACATACCGGATAGTCATTATTGACAAGCCTAAAACTTTTGGCTGTTTATGTACTTATTTCAGCCAATCACGAACGAGAAACTGATCATTTGAAAAGTCTGGCAACACTGCATGAGCGTGAATATATTTTAAAGTGGTTATACTGTAGTGTTTTAGATCAGCTGTAGACTAACCTCTGTTTAGATGCATGCGTTTATTTATTTATATACTTATATTTATTCGGAAATATAATTATAATGTCTGAAAAATTGACTTATAAAGGACGTTTCATAAAAAAAAAAGTCCTTGAAAAACGACAGAAAGCACTAGCAGCTATGGCTGAAGCAAAAAAAAAAAGAAAAAGTCCTCAGCAAATTGGTACTCGGATAGTAGACGTGGATGAATTGATGGATAATTTAATTTGTTGTCTTTGTGAAAAAGATTTATTATTAAAAAATATTGTGAAAGAATCAAAGTTCGGATTAAGTTCAGTTTTTAGTATTAAATGTGAAAATTGCTCTACATTAACTAACGTCAAGACCAGTAAAAAACACATCACCAAAGATAACACAAAACATAGTGATATCAATACAAAAATTGTATTAGGTAAGTTCAAGTTTAAAAAAAAATTAATATAAAATAATCAAAAAAATTAATATATTTTTTGCAAATTTTGATTATAAAAAAATGATTGTATTATAAAAAAAAATATATAAATATGAGCATAATAATTAAACAACATTATTACAGGTGCAGTACACGCTGGAGTTGGATATACTTGTCTAAGAAAAATTTTGGCTTGCGCTGATGTACCAATGATATCGCAAGCTCTGTATAAAAGGTATGAACGAGAAGTAGGGCCTGTCATAGAAGAGGTTGCCAAAGAGAGTTGCAAGCGAGCTGCAGAAGAAGAACGTAGTTTGGTAGTTGAAAACATCGAAAAACTATGCGAAGAACTGTAAGACATTTATCGAATTTTTAGTTATATTTATTTTGATTGCTGATAAATATAATAAATCATGCAAATCTATTTATGCCGTACTACTCTGATTAAAAAAAGTGTTGAGACAAAGAAAAAATTATTGAGAAGTATCCGTTTACTCAGCAATCCAATAAATACTTTTCAATACTCTTTCCTTCATGTTAATACTTTTTTTTTATTCGGGGTACTACTACTATAATAATTAATAGTAAATAATAGCAATAATAATCATTTTAATAAAACTAATAATAATAATAATGGCTATAATTGGATGAATTCTGTGTGAGTATTAATTTACTTCAGTAAAAATTGTAAATATATAAAAAATTGTAAATAATTTTAATTTCGACGAATTATACCAAGATTAATGTTAGTATTATTCAGACTTGATAATTGTAAATAATTGAAACATTTGTAAAAAATTTTTATTTTGATTTTAACTATTTTCAGGAAGTTCAATGATTGATTTGAGCTTATAAGTTACAATAGTAATTAATTAAAATTATTAATATTTTTAATTAATGAAGTAATTCAATTAAAAACTTTATAAAATATTATTTTATTATTATTTTTATTATGAAAATAACTATTATTGTTTTATTATCCAGATTTTGGAGATTATAATATAAATACCGAGTTTTACATCGATGTTTAAATCAATAAAACATATGAATAAAAATTCAACGACTATTAATTTATTTATTAAGATTACCTAATAAAATAACTATATTTGTTTTGTTAGGCCCGAAGAAATTTCACAAGAAATTTATAAAGAGTACTTTTTTCTTAAAGCTGCTGTAACAGCTGACGTCTCTTCAACATCATCACATTCTGATAGTGAAACATTGGATTCAGAATTGCTTTCTTCTACTGCAACTTCTTCACAACCTTCAGAAAATTTTAAATCTAAATTTTTAAAATTTGATGAAGCTCTAGGAAACATTATTAATATTATTGTTTCCTACGACATGGGTTGGAGCAAACGTGGAAATGGTAAAAGTTATGACAGCTTGAATGGTTATGGAGCGATAATTGGATTTTTGCCAGGAAAAGTTTTAGATTTCAGAACCCGGAATCGAAAATGTAAATTTTGTGATTCAGGACGGAGTCAAGAGAAGCATGGCTGTAGACTAAATTTCAAAGGAAGTGCTAAAGCGATGGAAGCTGATGTAGGAGCTGAGTTAATAAATGATAGTTCAATTTTGAAACAAGCTGGTCTAAATGTAGGTGTTGTCATTGGTGACGATGACAGCTCAATGATAGCAACTGTCTGCCGTAGAAGAAGCGCTAAAATTTTTAAGTTATCAGACTCTAATCATTTAAAAAAGAATTTCTCGAAAGAATTGTATGCAATGCAAACAGAATTTAAAGAAATGAAGAGAAAAAATGTGATACCACATTTGAAAAAATGTTTTAACTACGCTGTTGCTCAAAATAAAGGTGATAGTGTAAAATTTGCAAAAACTATTGCTGTGATTCCAGATCACGTGTTTGGTGCCCATGAAAATTGTGGTACATGGTGTCACAATCATCCTGACAGTTTAAAAAAAGGTAAAAAACAGACGATTGTCCTCAAAGATCAACACTTGAATGCATCATTGAAAAAACATTTTAGTAAATATGCCGCAAATTCAGTTAAATTTTCAGTAGCTGCTAGTAGTCAGGCAAATTAAAGTTTAAATAATATTATGGCACATAAAGCATCAAAGAATATGTGTTATAGCTTAAGTGAATCGTCAGATTATAGATGGGCAAGTGCAGTATGTACTAAAAACGACGGCGAGCAATATTTATCAACAGTTAAAGAAAAACTTAACCTTTCTCCCGGTAAAAATACTGAACCTTATGCAGCTAATCGAGACTCACAGAGAAAACGACGAGCTGAAGCTTCACAAATGCATTCAGCGAAGTGTCGACGTAATCTATTGAAACAAGATCGTGAAAATCTTCGTACAAAAAACAGAAAACTCAGAAGGTGTGCAATATTCTCCTAACTGTGGCTTCGATACTGATATTAATAACAATGAAGATATTGAATTGGATGAGCTTATGGAAGTTGACGAAGATAACCTTGATTCTTTTAATATTGTATTTTTTGATATTGAAACTAGTGGTTTCGCAAACTCTGCTGACATATTGCAACTCGCGGCTAAAGTTGAAGGAAGAAAGTTCTCAGTATATGGGGCATTCCATGCCAAATCGACCACTTTTAACACCGACCCTTTTCAATTTTTCTGAAATTTTGGTATCTTTCTCTACCCTATTGAAAACAATTTTCAGAATTTTTTCAAATTTTTTTACCCAACCAAAAAAAAGTTACGAGTTATTACAAAAAAAACAGCTTTTTTTTTTGTTAAATAACCATAACTTTTTTAAAAATTGACTTTTTGGGATGTTTTTGAAATTTTTTTCTTTAAATGTACTTTAGAAAAAAAAAATAAAAATAATAATTCGGATTCCTATTCAATGTTTTTTTTTAACTTTTTGGTGTAGTTACTTATATTAGTTCCGTCCTGTGAATAAAATAAATGTACATAATATTACATATTATTTTGTTTGTTAATATTTAATTTCAAATTGGTAAGATGGTATTGTTATAAAAAAAAAAAAAAAAAATCAGAATAATTACCGGAAGAGTTTTTATGAGATCTTTATTGAGAAATGTAGTTTTGACGGGTAAAGGGCTATCATCGCTTTCATTGAGTTTCTAAGAAAAAAAAATTAATTGATTTATGGTTATTTATTACTTTCAAGAACTATAAATAAGAAGAATTATAACAATATTCGATAGTTGCAATTCAAAACTTACTCTTTTCTTTCCTTTACCTACACCTTTACCTCTTTTTGTGATCACAGAATTTGATACCGGTAGTAATGCACAGGGAATTTGCAAAAAATACTGAAGTTTTTTATAAAAAGAAAAATCGAAATCAAAATATCAATCATTCCGAAATTTTCGTTTTTTTCCAAAAAGTTAAAAAAAAACATTGAATATGAATCCGAATTATTTTTATTTTTTTTTTAAAGTACATTTAAAGATAAAAATTTCAAAAAAAAAAACATCCCAAAAAGTCAATTTTCAAAAAAGTTATGGTTATTTAACAAAAAAAAAGCTGTTTTTTTTGTAATAACTCGTAACTTTTTTTTGGTTAGGTAAAAAAATTTGAAAAAATTCTGAAAATTGTTTTCAATAGGGTAGAGAAAGATACCAAAATTTCAGAAAAATCGAAAAGGGTCAGTGTCTAAAGTGGTCGATTTGGCATGGAATGCCTCATATATTCAACCTACTCAACCTGTAGTTGCTGCTGCTTCTGCTGTAACCGGATTAACTGTTGTTGATGACGAGTTGTACCTCAATGACGTAAAAGTAAAAACTATTTCGTTAAAAGAATCTTTAGAAAATTTTCTTAAATTTCTCCGTGTATCACCAAAGCCGTCAATTTTAGTTGCTCATAACGCTAAGTTTGATGCTAAACACTTAAAGTCCACAATAAAAGGATTTACTGATACATTAGTATTATTCAAAAAACAATTCCTTGACAGAAAAGGAAAAGGATTATTTAAATTATCGCAACTTACCAAAGATTTATTACCTCATAGAAAAACTGATAATTTCCATGAGGCAATGTTTGATGTTGAAATATTAGAAGAGCTGGTATATCTTCTAATATTGTCACTAAGGATTTAATAATTAATGCCAAAGGACTAAAAGAAGTTGTCAATGATATAGTAGGAGCACGTGAAGTCGCCAAAATCACAGGAACGCTGGACGTTTTAAAAAATTATGTTTCTGATAATATTATTAAAAAAATGGCTTTAGCTAAAATAACTTATGATGATTTGAATAAAATTTTCCCTGAAAAGAGTGAAGCTGGATTAAGTCATTTTTTGTCTGAAAAAGTCAACAATAAGCCTAGATTAACTAATAGAAAAAATATAATTGACAATATTGTTTTGTTTTTTCAGAAAAACAAGTAATATAATTTTTGTGTTAATGTATTAATTGATTTTAAATTTAAGTATTTTATTATTTTATTTGACTATTATTTTTATAACTTATGAAAGATTAATATATATTATTATATTAAAATTGTTAACATTTTGAATTTTTAATAAATATAAACAAAAATACTTCTTTTCATAAAATAATCATTGTTTTTTTTTTTTTTAAATAAATAAAATTAATAACTATAATGCTGCACCGTACGTAAATTAAACTTTTCAAATTTGTCCGCGCATGCGCGTCTCATACTTCTTTCGCGGCTCGCAAAACTTCGCTGTTGCCACAGCTTTATTAACGTATCCCCTCCACGGCTAAAGTCTGCTAAATTTTTCATTACTTAATAATAAGTATCTCTGAAACTGTGTGGAAATTACTTTAGTTTTTTAAAAAGATCCTAAGAAAAGTTTCTGAGAAATAAAAATGTTTGTAGGTAAACTTTTCGATATCCCGTATACCGCAATGTATAAGAGCGTTCAAAACTCAAACTTTGAAATTGAATATCTCTGAAACTAGATGGTCAAAAATTCTCGAATTGCGCCAATCGATGCAGAATTATATAAATATTAATCTGTCAAATAATAATTTGGGTAATTGGATTCTGGGTTATGGAAATCTAGGTAATCGGAATCTAAGTCACCGGTAATCTAACTCATTGGTCTGTAGGTAATCGATCTCTTCCCTTTGAAATGATTACCTTCATGTTAATTGTAAGTATATCTATATAGTATTCAAATCAGATGCTTTTAAATCATTTCAAATTCGATTTCTTAATCAGGGACAACGAATGAGGAAAGTCAAAAATGATAAATATTCGAGATTCGAAAATTTTCATTTCAAATTACATATTGTATGTACATACATACAAGTGAATATGAGAAGGTATAAAGCATTAAAAATGCATCATGATATTTTCTTTGAAAATATTCATAAATACAGATATACAAATACATGGAGTGAGCATGTCTGGTACATAAGCAGCTACTGGGGCTTTTACTTTACTACTAATATTCGCGGAAGAATTTAAATAACATTTAAATTAATACAAAAGATATATGTATTTAATCAGATTTAAACGAGACTAGAAAGTTGAATAGCGCGCTACGCGCGCGCCTAAATTTTAACCAATAATGAATCGTGGCCCGTTTTTCGCCGAGTTTCGATCTTTGACTAACTTTAAGACTATCATGTGTTTTAATTATTTTAATTTAGAGGATTCATATTTATTAATAATCTATTAAGATCTAAACTGTGTTTAAGGGTGGGCCGTAATTTAATGTGTTTTCAGAAACTTTTATTTTTCTAAGGGCCAATTTTTCAATCCAAGATAAAATTTTATCCAGGATAAAATTATTATTGCCAATATATATTCATATATTATAATATATATGAAATATATATGCCAGGTGCACGATGATCCAGCCCTCATTTTTCATGCTTTTCCTATGTTAAATCAAACGGAGTAATTTAGTTTCAGTGGTCGCCATTAGCGTTAAATCATGCTCTTCCCATAAGATTTACACATAAAAGTGGTAGTCAGCGCCAGCCCTCCCCGCCATATACTTCGCACTCTGCCAATAGATATATTTTATGTTTATCATTGGATGAAATTTTATCCTGGATTGAAAAATTTGAAAAACTGGGGTGCCAGAAACTCCACTCAAATTATTTTCATTCGAAAATACAAAATCTACAAAGTCATAAAGGTGACACGACAAAATCTCCCCGGAAAAAATCTCCCCCCTAAAATCTCCCCATGACAAAATCTCCCCGACAAAACCTCCCCAAGACAAAATCTCCCTGCGACGATTGGAAAATCAAAAAGTGCACGACTTATAATGCTCGCTTAATTATGAAATATTAAAAAAAAAAAAAAAAAAAACATAAGCTGTTCAAAAACGATTATCCGCGTTTGTGTTGGTCTAATGTCGAATATACACACACAAAAACCATGCTAAAAGGGCGCAGCACGGTCACAAGCAAAGGTAATAAAATAATCATAAAATATTTAAATTATAATAAATTTTTAAAATTAGTTAAGAGAGATTTTCTTAGTGAGATTTTGTTGTTGGGAGATTATGTCGGGGAGATTTTGTCTTGGGGAGATTTTGTCCGGGGAGATTTCGTGGTACAACCGTCATAAATATCCGAAATGAAAACTATTCGAAATTAACAATATTTAAAATTAATTATAGACAAAAGAATAAAATGAAACAGACGAAAATTTATGGATGTGGCTAAAGGTACGGAAAAAGATAGATACGGCTCCGTATACATACGGCTCCGTATGCGTACGGAGCGCCACAGACCGCCGGGAAATTCAAATTTTATTTAAAAATCGTCGCACGTATACGGAGCCGTGCACATACGGAGTAGTACGCATACGGGTCTGTATGCGTACGGAGCGCCACAGATCTCCGGGAAATTCAAATTTTATTTAAAAATCGTCGCACGTATACGGAGCCGTGTACATGCGGAGTCGTACGCATACGGATCCGTAAACTTACGGTCTTAAATGAAAGTAGCGGGGAATTCATATTTTGAATTTGAAAAAGTCGCACGTTTGCGGAGCTGCACATGTACGGAGTCGTACACATACTGAGCCGTATATATACGACTAAATAAATTTTTTAAGACTTTGAAGAAGGATAATCGATAAGCACTTTTTACTTGCTAAGGTAATTATTTTATTATTTTATTATTCCAATAACTTTAATTTTAAATAATTCATCTCTTGCAATAATTTAGCAATAATTCATCATCCTATTTTAAATATTGACCATATATAAGTATACTTATCTAGAATTATTTGTTTGTACCTTTTTCTTATAAGTGAAGTATATTGATTATTTTTAGAATATATATTAGTAGTAACTGGAATAAATACTCATGATTCTGTTTCGTTTCTTTAGTAACTTCTGTTATTTCTAAATTTCATTATAAAAAAAATTTTAAAACGTTTATATAAATATATATTAATTATTTAAGTACATGGAAAAAAATCATATAAAATATCAATACTATTCACTATTAAGGATTATCAATAAGTTAAGTTACTTATATACTTTTATTAAGTTATATAAATTTAAGTTAATAAAGTAATTAATTTATGCATTGTAATTCATGAATAATATCAGTAAAGAAGAATGAAGTGTAAAATTACTTCATAGTAACAGATTAATGTGATAAAAGTTCTGCATTCATACGGATCCGTATATATACAACTATTATGGAGTCGTAAATCCCAATGTAATGAAAGACCCGAGTTTAATGTTGTTAACGAGTTTGTTGAGTGTGATTATATATTATTTTAATTGATTTTATATTTAAAGGTGACCAAAATGTACATCTAAAGATGACTACAAAATTGTTTGTTAAAAAGCTATCAGCTCCACTGGGTAAGTATTTATTTTTCATAAAATTTATTTTTGCATAATCGTGAGACTAAATTCCATCTTTTATTTTATCATTTGCAGGGGCAATGATAGTCGCTGAATTTGTTTCATGCAAAAGTAGCAATAACAAAATCGAAGTCGAGTACCCGGAACCATGGAAAGCGACTTCTAACGTTCAATTGTTGGTCAACGGTCAAATTGTCTCTAATGATGACTGCAATATAGGACGTTATTTAGCTAGGACTTTCGACGACAGTTTATACGGTAATTTTTTTACGTACCTCTTTGAAAAAAAAAAAAAAAAAAAAAAAAAAAAAACAAAAACACACACACACACACACACTTACACTTATACATACCGATTTTTCCCGATACATACATACTTCCCGATTTTTCGGAAATCATTGATTTTCTTAACGGGAAGTTAAAAAAACAGCATTAAATAGGACTTATAGCGGAAGTAAGAGCGTATGGTATGCTCATTCGCCATATTTTTGAGGCAGTAATTTCGAAATTTCGGGCAGTATATATTGACACACATACATATACATTGTCTACAGACGCATAAAGTGCCCGAAAAACATGGCTAATATTGAGGCATGCGTATTAAAAATTTTCAACTATACAAAGGGCTATGCCGCAAACCGCGAGGGAGTTATTTCATTCATTACAGAAATATCTTAGTTTCAAGTATTCAAAATAGTGCTTTATCCTTACAACTACTAGATTTTCGAACTTAAGCTCGCAGTGTATAATAGTTTATTTTGTAGGTTCGGAGAGCTTTAAGCCACGTTATAAATTTTATAAGCTTCTTGAGCTGGTACATAGTAGAAAGTTCCAGAGATGGCCTGCAGTACCAACGGTTCTTCGGATTCTTTGTTGATTCTTTTTCTAGTTGAGTCACCATTTTTTAAGAATTCGTTTCTAGATCACATTGATACGGAAATTATCACTATACTGATTATTTCATTAGTAATTTTTTTATTCATAACCATGGGTTGTTCAAGACCCATTACACCAACACTTAACTCTTTAACGCTTCTAGGCGTTTCCCCCACTTTTGGTGGAACGCTTCCTTCTACATTTACTTTACACTCTCCCCACTCCGGTGCCACGCGGGCCACTCAGGGCCATTTCAGCGTTAAAGGGTTAATATTCCACTGGATTCTGAATACACAAATTGTAACCAAATTTATTGCATTCTAAATCAAGGTTTCAAAGAGGGCTTATAAACTTTATGATTTTATTTAGAAATCAATTTTGAAATTAAGCCGAAGAATTTGAAGAATTAAGTTGAATACGGTAACAAAGTAATTAAATCATCTATTATTCCTGAAATATATGATTAATATGAAACTTTTTTCGAGCTTAAACAATTTTATATTATACTAGCAGTTACCCGCCCGCTTCGCTGGGCACTTAGAATTGTATTTAGAATTGAATAGAATTGTATTTTTAGATCTAGACTTAAAATTTAATTGGAGTCTTGTTTTGACTTGCACAGATTCCAAATTCCATCGGATTGACCTTTTATTCCTGTAATTATTCTAGCTAAAAATTATTGTAACTTTCAATGTGCAATC